AGAGACACTTTTTCCGGGAATACCATCACCGTTTGAACCAATTAATAAGCTGTATTCACTTTCATCACTCTCATGAATACCTGGCGCGACCGATAAATTATAATTAAAATGTCTCTATAAGAGAAACTCAACAAGTCAAGAATTTAAGAAATTTCAATTTAAGCACTAATTGTGCTGCAAAATATAGAATATGCTCTGTGCTGGTTAATTCCGAGCCCTGACCGAGAAGGATGATTTAATTTACCATTAATTTACCATTTCTGATTCGTGCTTAACATCTCCTTTAAGTAACTATTCAATCTTCCCTAAATTTAATCAACACATTTTTCTTATATTGTGTCATATTAACAGAAACTACATATTCTATTTATATTAATGACCACGAAATTTTGTTAAAATAAATACTAATTTTACCAGTCTTGCACAACTTCGTTCTTTTTATTAAGAAATTTGTTTAATTTTTTGTATAGAAACCATAAGACATTTCACATGGATCTTGGCTCAGATATGTACTAACATCGAGAGTATATGAATTATTTTTTTAAAGCAAAAATAATTATAAAATAATAAATGCTACATAAATTAATGTTTGTCTTATCAAAATATAAAGAAGAAAAGTGTCTTCCTGCTGCCCATAATTACGGTCGTTTCGTTAATTTGAAACCAAAAAACGAACATGATCAACGCGTGAACGGCTATAAATTCAAAATCTCGATAATTAATAAAATCGTGACACCTTGAAGTCTGCATATTGATTATTTCTACTTTCGTTAACTTATAACTAGACTCTGGATCTTTATGCAAAATAGAAATTTTACGAGACAATTGTAGGAAACAGAAATTTAAAAAATTAGTTTTTTTTTTTATTACACTGTGAAACCTGTTACTGCATCTACATTGCTGTCTATTCTAACAATACAGAGAATTAATTGGCATAGTCTTGTCTTAAGGATTACATGAACATGCAATTATATGATAATTAGTTAATTTGTTTGATAATTTTGATGATGAAAATGGTGTAACAATATTGTTAAATTCTTCTTACGTCCCCACAATTTCGTATTTCAACTACGCACTTTTGCCATAAATGCATAACAACCGCAGTCTACTCATAACATATGTATTTAAAAGGTATAGAAAAATCAACAGTTTTTAAAATCGGTGATTCGCATAATAAAATTTTCAGCACGCATATTATACATTTAATGTAGGCATAGACGATTGACTTTGAAGAATCAAGTCTATAAATTGCACTATACATTGCACATATTTCCTTCATTTTCTGGATTGTTCGAAACAGCATTCCTTATACTATCGAAGAGGAAAATTATTAAAATGGAACAAAGTAAAACTGAACAATTAAAATTATAAAAGATTATAAAATTAAAAAATCTCTTGGAAATTTCTTTCACGTTCGCTAATTGATATTCAAACTAAGTACAAATCACAGTAAAACAATCTCTTGCAACATCGACAAGCGTAATATAAAATCACCGCAGTGTAAAACTGTTCAGTGTCCATATATCAAGTAAACAACCCCTGCAGGAGCAGGGGGAGTTGTCGAGGATCTGTTACATAAAATAGTAGTCAGTCGTTTCGTGAAAGCACTCGGAAACGTACGTTAACGTACAAATAAAAAAGTATCCGGGAAATGTGAATAGAAAGGCAGCAAATAGAATTAAACGTTGTATCTTTATTTCGCGTCAGTATCGTACAGCACTGTTGTGAATATTTGACGAGACAAATCCCAACGAGTTTACGCTCGCATCAATTAATTATAAATATAGCATATATGCGTACAGTCTATTTACGAATGATACCCACTTTCTCGGGTCTTTTTAACCCTCCTTCGCTTCTCACAAATATTTACACGGAATATCTAATTTCGTTTTACCATTTTCATTTGACTAATTGCGTTCGATTCTATTGCAGTTTTATTATATAGCGAAATTATAATAATAATATAAATGTCATTCTAACCATTTTATCACGCACGCACCAAACGTTCGAAATCGAAAAGTGCATAGCATCCGAGCAGTAAATAACAATAGAAATTTATATGCTCGAAACATAGTCGTGAACAGTACTGGGTAAAATAGTATTTTACATGGCAAACAGTAAATAGATATTTTATTTAAGATCATGCATATATATTTTTGAAAATAAAATATTTTATTTGTCCGAAATAATGTGCTTTTAATAATAGAATATTTCAATAGTCGTAAAAAATTCTCAAGATAATATTTCAAATAGTATTTTATTTGAAAAACACTGAAATATTATTCTATATATATTTGTGCCATATTTCGGAATATTTTATTTACTTCATTTCTTATCATCGAATAAAATATTTTTATTTTACTAAATCATAGTGTTAAATTATGTAAGCAATATAAAACGAACGAAGTACACTTCCTCTGCGTTATAAACGTACATAAAAAATGCACTTTGTTACATGCGAATGGCTTGTATTTAAAAAGGCAATAAATTTCATTTGCAAATATGATTCCTTACGTTATCTCTTTTTGCGTTACGTTAATCGTTTTCACAATTTATTTTCAGGTCAATAACTATAGGAAGTATTCCATTTTATGATTTACGTTATTCAAACGAACTATTTTATTTCAAGCTTTAGCCGTGGATTATCGAAACAAAATATTTCATTTATTGAAATTTTATGCTCCATTTGAAATACTATTTTATTTCAATTCTGAAGAATTTATTATTTAAAATGATATTTCAAATATGTTCTTTATAAATGTTACCCAGCTGTGGTTATGAATGACATAGTGATATCAGATTGATAAATGCCTTTATATTTGCAACAGTTATATGATACATATCCTCTTTTAATACAAGTATTATACATCAAAATCCAACACAACTGCGTTGAAATTAAGAAATTGACAGTGTAATTAACCCTCTCAGCTCTTAATCCTTTTAATTCTAAATTTCACTTAATAGCAAACAAATTGTAATATACAGGGTGGGGAATTTGAAACGAGACATCTGAATAACTCGCGTGTTCCTAACAACAAAGAGAAAAAGTGTCAGACAAAAGTTGTCTAATTTCGAGGGCCACATTATATGATGGCAATAATTTTATTATACGTGGAAGCGTAGACATATATGAAGGTCAAACTTATTTTTTTAAATAAGAAAACCTAATTTTTTATTCACATTCTGATGGAGCCTTTCAGTATGAATACAATGACCTATAAGTGAAGATCATTCAAGGTCACAACATATGAAAAACACATTCTTCTGTCGCATTTAAATTTCTTTGTACTAACATGCGGATGTTGTTCTACAGCGGCTAAAATATTTATCGCATTAGCCTAATTCACAATAGCCTAAGTCACTCGTTTAATTCGATTGGGTGTTTTGTTTCCCATTTCTTGAAACTTTTTTTACAATACGTGACAACAATGACAATGAAAGTCTAACACAATCGGGAAATCTTTCACCATATAGATACGCACTGCTTTCCTTATAAAAGACTGCTTCCTTTCGCCGTAAATGAAAGCTAGTAATATATATAGGATCCATAGATACAGATAACAGTATAATGTGATTCAATGTGTTTACGTTTATATTCCATGACCCATAATAGTGACAAAGAGAGGAACATATTAACAACATCAGAACACGCAAGATATTTGAAAAGTGTCTCGGAAAAATATGTTTTTCATTGTAGTTCATATGTTATGACATTGAATGACCTTCATTTATAGGTCATTGTATTCGTCTTGAAAAGCTTTCTCAGATTGTGAATAAAAAATTACGTCATCCTATTTAAAAAAAAAACAAGTTTGACCTTCATATGTCCTCAACGCCTTCACCTATAGAAAAAACTATTGGCATCATACAATGTGCCCCTCGAAATGAAACAACTTTTGTATGACACTTTTTTCCTATTGTCAAGAACAAGCGAGTTATTCAGATGTCTCGTCTCAAATGCCCCACCCTGTATATACATGTGTGTATTTAATGTAATAATGTAAACTAGATTCTCGTCAATTAATATATTTACACAGTGTACACTTGTAAAATATAATCTCACGTATAATTCTTTTTCTTTCTCGTTACACGCTGTCGATCGCCTCGTGTTCGCACGCGTTGCTTACTCGTCCCTCACTAAACTCCTTGATCGCCTAATCGGCCGATTCGTCGTTGGCACTGTTGCCGTTCTTCCCTCGGCGACGTTGCCGCTACGTATACATACATATATCTTCAAAATTTCATAAACTTTCTTAATTCGCAGCTTGATGATATTCTTTCGTTAGCTCTTTCTTTCAACTTTCTTACATTTTGCAAGTCTTAACAAAATTTACAACACTTCAATCGACTTAATTTGCATACCCAAAATTGGGCAGATCATTTCGTCACACATACATATGTAGATGCGAGTAAATTTTCTACGGAGCTGCATCTTATTTAACCAGTTTGACATTTTTATTCAAAATTGTTATCTCAAGATCGATTATTTACCGATTCGATTGATTATTTATTTCAAGAAAAATTCAGACGAAGCAAGAATTATTATCCCAATTTTAACGAACTTCCGAATAATAATGGGCTCGCGATTAATAAACAAACCTCGACAGTGAGACAAGCGGTGCTCTGAAAAAATCATTACGTTTAATAAATATTTAATTGTTCAACGTAACGATATTTTCCATTCCAAATACCGATTACTTGTTTTGTTATAATTATTCGTTATAATTATATTGTAATTATTTATTGTCTCTGCAACGTAGGCCCATCGTCGTTATGAAATAATTGAGCATACACATGTGTACGCATCGAAAACGAACTAAAACTCTCAAAAGGTTCGAAACTGCAGCGAAAATAGCCTAGTGCTCTCGACCTTAAGAGTAGCTTCCCGTTGTCGATGAAGGTGGACCCACGGTCCGCACGAACGACCCCTCGAGTTACCTAGTCCGGATACCGCGAGCGCATTCTACGGTTTCGTTGAACGTTCCTGGCGTCATTTGCAGGTCGGCACCTGGCTCGAAGCATCGCTGAGAATGCGTGAAATGGCGCCGTGCGCCATTCAGAGACCGGATTGCTTCGGATACCTGAGCAAGCAGCAAGAGCACGCCAGGAAGACCTCCTCACCGACCGGCTGGTCCAGGCGATACTGCGTGCTGAAAGACGCGGCGCTTTACTTCTACGACGACGCGAACGCCGAGAAAGCTTTCGGAGTCGCCTGTCTTCACGGGTTCAGGGTGCACAGCAGCGCGCCGACTTCCGGCGGCAGGAGGCACGCGTTCGAACTCCAGTCGCCGGACCCCACTCAGAGGAGCTACATCTTCGCCACCGAATCCGACATGGACAAGAAACGGTAAAGAATTTTTTCGAAAATTCAACTTCCTCCAACTTTGTATTGTACAGTATTCTTTCTGTTGAAATGCAACGATGACACTGGTGGTGGGGAGGGGGGGAGGGGGTAATGTGATTCAAATTATAGAAGTCCGCTTGCATTTCCATTGTCATTTTTCTTTAGTTCGGATAATAGAGGTTCCTGCGTTCAGTTAATAGAGACGCATTGCTATTCCCATCCAGGATTGCCGCGAAAAAAATGTATAGTGTATATGTTACCGTGAATGGCCGAAATTGGAGAATGTCGACTTTCACCGGTGAATGTCAACATTCACATCTGTCTCTTATACACATCTAGATGTGTATAAGAGACAGCTCATTGGCTCGGCAGCCTCGCGCCAGCTGATCTCGTCTCGGATCTGTCTCTTATACACATCTAGATGTGTATAAGAGACAGCTCATTGGCTCGGCAGCCTCGCGCCAGCTGATCTCGTCTCGGATCTGTCTCTTATACACATCTAGATGTGTATAAGAGACAGCTCATTGGCTCGGCAGCCTCGCGCCAGCTGATCTCGTCTCGGATCTGTCTCTTATACACATCTAGATGTGTATAAGAGACAGCTCATTGGCTCGGCAGCCTCGCGCCAGCTGATCTCGTCTCGGATCTGTCTCTTATACACATCTAGATGTGTATAAGAGACAGCTCATTGGCTCGGCAGCCTCGCGCCAGCTGATCTCGTCTCGGATCTGTCTCTTATACACATCTAGATGTGTATAAGAGACAGCTCATTGGCTCGGCAGCCTCGCGCCAGCTGATCTCGTCTCGGATCTGTCTCTTATACACATCTAGATGTGTATAAGAGACAGCTCATTGGCTCGGCAGCCTCGCGCCAGCTGATCTCGTCTCGGATCTGTCTCTTATACACATCTAGATGTGTATAAGAGACAGCTCATTGGCTCGGCAGCCTCGCGCCAGCTGATCTCGTCTCGGATCTGTCTCTTATACACATCTAGATGTGTATAAGAGACAGCTCATTGGCTCGGCAGCCTCGCGCCAGCTGATCTCGTCTCGGATCTGTCTCTTATACACATCTAGATGTGTATAAGAGACAGCTCATTGGCTCGGCAGCCTCGCGCCAGCTGATCTCGTCTCGGATCTGTCTCTTATACACATCTAGATGTGTATAAGAGACAGCTCATTGGCTCGGCAGCCTCGCGCCAGCTGATCTCGTCTCGGATCTGTCTCTTATACACATCTAGATGTGTATAAGAGACAGCTCATTGGCTCGGCAGCCTCGCGCCAGCTGATCTCGTCTCGGATCTGTCTCTTATACACATCTAGATGTGTATAAGAGACAGCTCATTGGCTCGGCAGCCTCGCGCCAGCTGATCTCGTCTCGGATCTGTCTCTTATACACATCTAGATGTGTATAAGAGACAGCTCATTGGCTCGGCAGCCTCGCGCCAGCTGATCTCGTCTCGGATCTGTCTCTTATACACATCTAGATGTGTATAAGAGACAGCTCATTGGCTCGGCAGCCTCGCGCCAGCTGATCTCGTCTCGGATCTGTCTCTTATACACATCTAGATGTGTATAAGAGACAGCTCATTGGCTCGGCAGCCTCGCGCCAGCTGATCTCGTCTCGGATCTGTCTCTTATACACATCTAGATGTGTATAAGAGACAGCTCATTGGCTCGGCAGCCTCGCGCCAGCTGATCTCGTCTCGGATCTGTCTCTTATACACATCTAGATGTGTATAAGAGACAGCTCATTGGCTCGGCAGCCTCGCGCCAGCTGATCTCGTCTCGGATCTGTCTCTTATACACATCTAGATGTGTATAAGAGACAGCTCATTGGCTCGGCAGCCTCGCGCCAGCTGATCTCGTCTCGGATCTGTCTCTTATACACATCTAGATGTGTATAAGAGACAGCTCATTGGCTCGGCAGCCTCGCGCCAGCTGATCTCGTCTCGGATCTGTCTCTTATACACATCTAGATGTGTATAAGAGACAGCTCATTGGCTCGGCAGCCTCGCGCCAGCTGATCTCGTCTCGGATCTGTCTCTTATACACATCTAGATGTGTATAAGAGACAGCTCATTGGCTCGGCAGCCTCGCGCCAGCTGATCTCGTCTCGGATCTGTCTCTTATACACATCTAGATGTGTATAAGAGACAGCTCATTGGCTCGGCAGCCTCGCGCCAGCTGATCTCGTCTCGGATCTGTCTCTTATACACATCTAGATGTGTATAAGAGACAGCTCATTGGCTCGGCAGCCTCGCGCCAGCTGATCTCGTCTCGGATCTGTCTCTTATACACATCTAGATGTGTATAAGAGACAGCTCATTGGCTCGGCAGCCTCGCGCCAGCTGATCTCGTCTCGGATCTGTCTCTTATACACATCTAGATGTGTATAAGAGACAGCTCATTGGCTCGGCAGCCTCGCGCCAGCTGATCTCGTCTCGGATCTGTCTCTTATACACATCTAGATGTGTATAAGAGACAGCTCATTGGCTCGGCAGCCTCGCGCCAGCTGATCTCGTCTCGGATCTGTCTCTTATACACATCTAGATGTGTATAAGAGACAGCTCATTGGCTCGGCAGCCTCGCGCCAGCTGATCTCGTCTCGGATCTGTCTCTTATACACATCTAGATGTGTATAAGAGACAGATGTGAATGTTGACATTCACCGGTGAAAGTCGACATTCTCCAGATTTCGGTGTTTCACTGTAACATATACACTATACTATACTTATAAAGTGTACTTTATACTTTATAAAGTGTATCAGTTATTTTTCATACGCATACATCGTTCTCTTGAACTGTCACGATTTCGGTATCTGCGATGTGACAGTTACGGTAGAGGTACTACATTTTTTTGGTGTTCTAACCGCGTACTTAGAGAAGAATAGCGATTGAAAAAGAAAGACGGATAGAGGTTCGAGGTGTTCAACAAACATTAAATGACTCGTGCATGCTTGTCTCTTGAATCAAAACATCAATAAGCCTTATTGATTTTTTATTATTATATATTAATGCAACTTTTACAATCGCATCCGTTTCGTTTGTCTTAGGTTAAAATAACATCGAGCATGATATAATTACGACTATAATTACTTGTGGCAACAAATATTTTATGAACTATTTCTAAATTTCGTATAACGCCTTACCTTTTTAATACTTTTCCTGTCGCGCCAACTACCTCAGAAATTTCATGAAATTACAGTATTTTATTCAATAGAATCAAATTTATTATAAAAGTATATAATAGATCAGCCTACAAGTTCATTTTCAAACTTGAAGAAATAATTATATGTGGATGGCACGGCAATCAGTACTTTTCTTCAAGGTCGTTTTTCGGCATTTCCAAGGTCATCGATGTTGATGTGTCCGTTAGTACATATTATTAGTACTTGCAGCATTGCAGCTTATTGCATTTGCTAAGAACTCAGGTTTCGTTTTCACGTTTGAAGTCCAAAGTCATTTCAAGGTCAAGTCGTTATACACATCTGCGTGTGTTTTAACGTCAGCTTATACGATGCAATGATAAAGCTACGTGTTGACCTTGAAAACTCAGCAGAAAATGACCCTATAAAATAACTACTTTTAACATCGAATACGTTTCTTAAAATTTAGGTGGCAATGTTTACACGAATCACCCTCTACAGGGTGTCCCATAATTATGTTAATACCTGGGAAGAGGTGATTCCTAAGGTCATTTAAAGTAACATTTTCATTAGCGAAAATGCAATTCGCGGCTTTGTTTACGAATTATTAACGAAAAGCACTGACCAATCCGAGACGAGATCAGCTGGCGCGAGGCTGCCGAGCCAATGAGCGGAACTGGGTTTCGACCGCTCATTGGCTCGGTCGCCTTGCGCGAGCCTAGCTCGCCTCCCATTGGTCAGTGTTTTTCGTTAATAAATCGTAAACAAAGCGATGGAGAACATTTTCGCTAAGGAAAAAGTTACTTTAAATGATCTCAGGAATCCCTCATTTCCCGGAAGTAGCATAATTTTGGGACACCCTACATAGTAAACTTCAAGCATTACAAATGTCAACATTACGTCCCCTTTTCCCGCGTTATCCGAATTCTCGACGAGCAAGCGAATCGAACGTGTTCTAAACAGAAATTTCTTGATCTTGCAGATGGCTCGCCGCCCTCGAATACTCGATCGATCGATGGATAAAGATTGGTTGACACAGGCCGATACACCGCACAAGGAGGCAAAGAAGTCGAAGCAACGAGGACACGTTGCGGTGTCCCTCGCCCGTTCCCGTATCCGGTTCCTAACGAACATTGTCGCGAATCACGAACTCGCCCACCATCGTCATCGTCGTCACGATCGCCGCGCGGAAATTCATCACGTGGATCATCTCGCAACTACTCGTCAAATTCGCGATTCTCCAGAAGTCCAAGCATTATTATTAACATTATCGACATTCATTTCAACGCGATGGTTCTCATGTGTATCAACAAAGGACACCAATCTTTTTCACACGCCGCCGTTTCGGGACGCGTAACTAGAACTCACTAGCTCGTACCACGGGACTTAACAAATTTATTGCACGAACTTTCGAAGCCACCTGTAACGATAATATTGTCGTTTTTAATGATAATCGAATCCGTCGGCACCGATAACGCCAGTATCACATTGCAAAGTCGCTAAACTTTTCGCCACGTGAACGAACCAGGTACGCGTTTCCTGAAATTTTGTACAGATTTTCGTCGACGATCCATCATCCTCCGTGCTCCCAAATCTCGTCTTTTAGCTGTGGATATCTCCGATTCTCTTCGAGTACGACGATCTTATTGTTACACACGATCACCGTTCGCGGGATATTAAGCCAGATTTCAAGTCGCAGGAGTGGGGGCTAGGGCACGCGACGCGCCGTATAACGAGTGTACATTATAATTCTGAACTACGAAGTGGACGGTGCAATGCCGACATAATACAATAGGAAGGGGAACATCCGTTACGCTTCCCACTACTCCGTACAGGTGTCCCGGCGCTTCACGTGACCTACCCCCACTCCTTCGATTCGAAATCTGACTTAATCTGCAGCGAGCAGTGCGCACGATCAATCCACACGTTTTGTCAGTCTAAGTGTCGGTAAATGATATTTTACGATCATTCGTAGTTCTCTTCGTAGCGTTATATTTCTCTGACGACGAAACATTTTCACTTACAGGGCTGGGATTTAGCGAGAAATCATTTGCCACGCTAGGAATTGTTCACGAATAAAACTGTACGGAGATTATTAGCTGCTAATAAGTTGAGTGTTCGGCAACAGAAAGACATTCGCTAAGATTTAAACCAATATACGATTAAATAATGAAAGATATTAATAAAGAAACACGATCGATGAACACAAATACGACGACAACTATTAACAGCTAGTAAGTCCAATGTAAATACAATGCGTTTTTATCAACGTAAGCTGTTTCTTGCTAAATCGATACCCTCGTAAAGCGTTCGTTTTGCGTGATTAAGTGTGCATTATGTACAATTTTAACGCTTCAAGCAACGTTTCTCAAAATTATAATTATTTCCTAGCTGTCGATATCGTAATCATACGGAAACTTAAATGTGAAATCAATGAAGTTTCGTTTGTAAGTCGTGTGAAAGTACTCATTTTGTTTTCGTTGTTTTATGTAATTGTGCAGTAGACGAAACATTTACGGATCGCGCTTGCCGATTTTTGTGAAGTTTTGAAACACTACGATATTAAATGTTCGTCAAATGTTTAGTGAAATTTTCTCTACCGGATCCCAAATGTACCGACCTTCTCTGTTCCGTTTTCTACGTTCACTTCTCGCAGTCCTCGAACGACACCGCGTCATTTAATTTATTTTAATTTAATTTAGCCTAAGTAATTTAATTTTAATTTATAAAACGTCTTTACCACATCGAAAGTGAACTGTGTATATAAATGTATATAGGGTGAGCCGAGGAAAACGAAGCATAGGATTATAGAATAGGAGAACGTGTACCACGAGTAACTGCATAGATGACGTAGATTCCTGAAACAACCCTAACGAAGCAATATATATATATATATATATATATATATATATACATATATATGTAATTTCTTGTTTCTCAATGAATTGTAGTTGTTTTTGTCCTCAGAATCGGTGAATCTTTCGTCGAGAAAGAATGATCATCAACAATTTATGCCAATTATCATCAACGTTTCTGTTTCCTCTTATGCTCTGTTAATTGACACAACAAATTACAATTACTTGGATCGCTTCAAGAAACGAAATGTTACTATTTCATTTGACTGACCACGCGTTGACCGTCGATTCTGTTAACCATTCTCTCTGAAGATTCGTTCGTATCTTCGCGCGACGATATTATTTAAAACTATTATTCTCGGCTGGTTCGAAAACACGACATCTGCACCGAAAAAAATTACGGCTGTAAGGTAATCGTTGAATTTACGGTTCGTTTCTGTTTACATTGTCATTATTCTTTTAAGGAGATACTACGTTATTTTTTCATTGGAGTAGTTTTCGTTGTTTGTTTACTATTTATTGATTGACTTATGTGACTGACTTTCCTCCCGATCTTCACCCGAACTTGTACACGCACGATCTGTACCATCCGCGTTACACCCTATTTGTTGTTCCCCGTGGAGGCTATTATTTCATTGAAATTACGTTGTCGCTAATTGTAAGTGTGCTCGTCGTTATTATACCTCATTAATAAACGAACTGAACGCAACATGGAAATGATGATTCCTTCACCGATTTCTCCTTATTAACCGTCGACGTTTGAGAAACGATGCTTCGAGTAGTTTATTCGTCAACGATACGTTCGATACGATTGTTAAAACTTTCGCAGCCGATAATCCTTGAACGCATCGAAACCTGGGGAGCCGTCATTCACACGCCGAAGTTATACAAGAATGTATAAACAGACGATTTTCATTTCGAATACCGTGGCGCTGGCCGTTTCTAATTTGACAAGAACGTCGAGAGCACACAGTTACCGATAAAAGCGTAGCGCGTAGAGGAGAGCTGATTTTTCTAAACGCCTAACTCAGTCATTTTTATATAGTCCGCGCACGACAAGAAGGCGTCTTTGTATTTACGTGTTCCCCCTCTCACTAGCTGCCCCACTGCCGCAGCTATCGGTCGCTATTGGCCGAAAACGGCGTTCAATGGCGGCCGATAGTTGCAGCAGTGGGGCAGCTAATAGGAGGGGGAATACGTAAACGCAAAGGTGCCTTCTTGTCGCGCGAGGACTATACGTGTTTCACGTTTCCCGATTGTACAGATTTCTTTGTGTATTTCTCAAGAGCGAACACTGTCGGATTCCTACATTTTTGAAGCGCGCAAATTTGTCAAGAAGATACGTAAATAACACGAGCGAAATAAAATACGGGAAAATATCACACGGTGAATTGCTCGGTTGATCGATTAGTTTCTTTTATCGGTAAACGTGTCTGTCGGCTCGCAATTACAGTTCGCTGAAATCGTACAGACTGAGCGCTGCGTCGTCGTCATTTCGAATCGATAGCGGAAAGACGTAGCTCTATCCCATCGTCCTGAAAACGTAGCGGCACGAAATCGTCCGCGAAAGTGTTAACGCTTCTCGCTGAAAACAAAAATCCTGAACACGTGCTCGCCATAATTTAGTACCATTTGTAATAGCGATTCGACTTTTGGATTCGGTCTTTATACACGAATTTAACAACATCGTATTATATCTTATTGATACGCAGGAATTGAAGTCTTATTCGTATTTTAACGAGCGTCGAACATCAAAAGCGAGAATGAGGATTGTTTGTTCACCAATTGTGTCTTGTTATTAATTAGAAGGATTCCCACGTTCACTTACAGACATAGGACTCGACTTAGCTTTTAAGGCGGCGGAAGATCGTTCGCTGCGCTCCCACGAATTTTCAAAGCGAGTGTCTGCCGAAACAGGGTGACAATGGAATAGTTGAAAGAAAATCACGTAGATGCTCAAGGCCGTTTCCCGATTCCTATGCATTCCCATGCTCATTTTTCAACCGAAGCTCGAACTTAGTCTAGGTCGATCGAACAACTTCGAATGACAAGCTAAAATGGTAAATTTACAGGAGTCGCATCTGATTTCAATGACCTTGAAATGTGTCGTCAATGTCGTAATTTTGAACAACCTTATCCCGTACAGGATGTCCACGAAGTGATCTTCAGTTTGGCGGATATTGTGCTGAGTAACGCAATGGCGCAGAAGTAATCATGATCTTGAAAACTCAAGGTCGAAGATCGACAAATTTTTTACTCCATCTTAGTCTACCCATCGCGAGGATCGACTTTACAAGATTTGCATTTACTTAAAATTCTGTAAACTTTGCATTTCCAAGGTCAAGGTCAACTTTGCTGCAAGTTACTTATGCCAATGAACGCCAAATCGAGAGTATGCAATCACATTGTGCGTATAATAAGCGTTCTCTTTTAGTTTCTCAGATACGCGCGGAAAGCTGTTGCTATTACTATAATGATATCACTATAGTCCTCACGCGACAAGAAGGCACCTTTATGTTTACATTCCCCCTCTTCGTACTTGCGACAGTGGGGCAGCTATCGATCGCTAATGGACGACGGCGATCTTCGTCATTGTTTTCGGCCAATAACGACCGCTGACTGCGGCAGTGGGGCAACTAGTAAGAGACGGAATGTGAACACGAAGGTGCCTTCTTGTCGCGTAAGGACTATACTACAGTATGTGTCAATGCGGAATCCAAAATTACAATAACCGATAGATAAAGGTTAGGATTTGAGAATATTTATTATTTGAACACATAAACGTATCATATAGCAGTAATATAACAGTGATTTTGTTGCGGATCTAGGTAAGACCTAGCTCAGAAAAGCCTAACCTAAATATAACCTAGATCTAACTCATTAATACAGCAACAATATAACAGTTTTTTGATTTTGAATTCGTGTAAAATAAATCTGAAGCTTTAGGTTTGCATTAGGTCTCGAACGCGAAAAACAATCTAAAATATTCTCTTCAGATTAAATCTCTAATGTACTAATTGAGTTATTGAATTTTTAGTGTGATTTAATCTGTACCGTTTGAACTACTCCTGTAAACATATTTCAAGGCCACTGAAATCGGAGGTAGCTCTATTAAACTGCATTATTAGCGCTATAAATTATGGAGTTTTTCAACAAAAAGATAAGATTTGAGAGAATGGAACAAACAAGGGGTAGGATTTTGTTTTAGAAAAATAAATAGTTTTGTCGCATGAAAGCAATTTCTTTTTCTGCATTTCGAAAACGAACTGGTAATATAAAAGAATTATATAAACATTAACTTTTGTAACTAGACTCTTCATAATATGTGAATCAACTTTTGTTGTAATTTACCAAAGAATATTTGCTTTGCAATAAAGATACAGTAGAATCTCGATCATCGAAACATCGATTTTTTTGAATGATTTGAATTTGAAATATTATGGATAAAGATATC